TTTTTTTTCTCGGAACCAGGGATTGAACTCAGGCCCTTGCACTTGCCAGGCAAGCACTTATTCTACTGAGCTATCTCCCCATTCCCCTACATGTATCATTTTTATGGGAGCCTAAGCCCACCTCTCTTCTAGCTCTTTGTAAAATACGATGAGCTGCTGCAGACCATATCGCCCCTGGGCTGTAGACCCTTAGGACTTACTTTCTGTAGCTTAAACCCACACTCTGTCTCCTCCCCTTCCCCGTCACACACTCTGGAATTCACTTTTGTTCTCTTCTGGGAGACTTTCTTTTAACCTTCTGCCTATAGGCGAGAGCACGTGAGATTCGTCCTTTTCAGCCTGTCTTCTTCACTTCACGTAATATCCTCCAGATCCATCTCATGCCACAAATGACCAAAAACAAAAAAACGAGAACAGTTATTCATGCTCTTGTTCTCTGCCTTCTTTCCTCCATATCCAGGGGGCTGAGAGCTGTAGGACAACCAAAAGAGGCTGGGAACTAGATTCTGGGCTGCCCTCGGCCTTGGTCTGCCTCCAGAGTCGAGTGGAGAGGGGGTGGGAAGCCCAGGACACTGAGCCCACCTCCCATGGTTTAGCTTCAGATTAACTATGATCACGTTTACTAGGGACCTAGCCTGACTGTTAGGGCCTTGAGCTCTGCAGCCATGGGACCTCAGTTCAAAACTTAGCTGCACAACTTGCCCAGTTACTGTGAGGGTTTCCCTGACCTGCAGGGAAGCATACGGGAGAGGAGCACATGGGGGGAGCACGAGGAAGCTGCCTGGGCCGGAGCTGCTTCCCATTCCAGTGAAGATCATAACGTGCCCTCTGGTTAGGACTGAGCTGCAGATGAGGAGGTGCAGAGGGCTTTAGCGCAGGCCTCTGGGCCAGCGTTAGTCTCCCGTGCAGATACTGTGCTGTGGCAGAATCATCTGGGTTTTTTTTTTGGCGGAACCAGGGACTGAACTCAGACCTTTGTGCTTGCCAGTGAAGCACTTACTCCACTGAGCCCTCTCCCCGGCCCTCTTCTGTCTATAGTTTCTAAGGACTTGGGAAGAGATTGCTGCAGCTGATATTTACAAACCTACAGTTTTGCAGATCGTGAATGATGAACCAGGGTCTCTTGGGTACTCAATCATAGGGACATGGTGAAACCACTGCTGTGGTGCATTTGGTCCCCTAGGTCTGCTGGGAAGGGCTGGTGCCTTTGCTGTGTGGTGGCAGGGAGCCTGCCCGAGGCAGGCAGCATTCAATGCCATTCCTGGGGGGCCCGGTGAGTCCCACACCCCACATGCAGTCTGCCCACAGTGCCCGCTGGACACTCAGCACTCCCGGCCTGTCTGTTCTAGGGCTTCCTGCAGCTGAGGGCTGCCCACGAGGCCCTGGAGGAGGAGTACCTGACAGCCTGCAGGGAGCCGCCCTCTGACTCCCAGGACTCCCAGGCAACGACACCCTGGAAATTTGATCCTGGCAGGTATGTGCTGGGGAGACAGGCCCAGGGGACAGATGAGACAGGCCCTGGGTGTCCGCGGTCACCAAGAGCAAGGTGCTTCCTCCTAATTTGTACCCAAGGGGAACAGAGAGAAAGCACTGCCAGTTAGCAACACTCCCAAACCATGGGACACTTGGAAGTTCCCATTTGTGTCTCCTTCTGCCCTGCAAGGAGAAGGTACTGGGTAGATAATGGGGAAACTGAGGCAGGGGGTCTGGATTTACTCAAGGTCTCACAGCCTGGAGTGCTAGAGGTGGTCAGGGCTGAGGCTCCTGAGTCCCCACGGTGTTTTCCTTCATCTTGTTCAAGTTCTTGGCATCATTAAAGGATGACTTTACCCGGACCCCAAGGGTGCTTCCAGGGTCACTGCTCTGAGGCACAGTCTCCTGGGTCGGCCCGGGGTTGCTGCAGTGCCAGGCCCTAAGTGCTGATGTCCCCCCATTCCAGGGAGCTGGAGGCAGAGATTTATCACCTGGGAATCCGCCTGGAAGAACTTCAGGACCACGTGGCCCGGATGCAGCAGGAACCTGAGCCATCAGGGGCAGAAGACGTGGCTCTGGACAGTGCCCCGGCCACACCCTTCCCCCACCTGCAGGCGCCCCTGCCTGCTCCTTCCAGACAGGCATCTGTGTCCACGCCAGCCATCCAGACCCCACATCAGGAGGTACCTCTGTCTGTCACAGTGAACTGGCATTGTTTGGCCAAGCCGCATGACACACGGTGGGAATTAAGTGGGCTGTGGAGAGGCAGGGGAGGGCGCCTCCACTATCTGAAGCTTTCTGATTGAACTCGCTACAGTTATGTAATTATCATTTTGATCCACACTCTAGATGTATAGAAGCAGGCCAATCAGAATGAGTCAGGGAGGCCAAAGCAATTGTCCCTGAGGAACTGAGGCCTCAATGGGATCTGAGAGTAGGTAGGGATTCCTAGTGCAGCAGAAGAAAAGCATCCAGCGGGGAAGCCATCCACAGCCCTGCAAAGGCCCTGTGGCCTACGGACAGCAGGGGAGGAGGCTGCTGATCTGAGATGTGGCTGCAGGGGCAGGCAGGGGCTTCATGATGTGGGACTCTTGGTAGCACCGAGGGCTTGGTCTTATGACATGGGAGTGGACCAGCCCGAGGCAAGGGAGGTGGCAGGGCAGAGGGAGAGCAGTCGAGAAGGTGCGCATGAGCAGATCTGGGGGGTCAGAGAGAAGGAAGAGCCCTGGATGAGCCCACGCTGGCACGTGAAGTGCTGGGGAGCCCAGGGGGCTGTGCACACAGAGTGGAGACACTGGGAGTGGGCTGTGTGCTGAAGGGGCTTGGCACAGTCTCTCCTACCACGTGTCATGGCGGCTGTCTCAGGCGCCTCCCTGCTGCGGTTAGTGTAGTGTCATCACACTAGCACAACAGTAGAGACTCTGTGCCTCCACACTTCTTGCTCTGCCCCCCAAAGCAGGAAGTCTGGGTTTGAATTTGCCCCCAGCTTCTGTGTGGCAAGTTACTGAGCCCCAGCTACCTGACTGTAAGTGAAATGGGCCTACAGGTGGCCCTGCTGAGAAGCCATGTCTGCCTGGGGCCTGCACACAGTAGGTGCTCACTTCAGGCCAGCCAGTACTGCAGATTACCCTGTGGTGGGGGTCCGCGATTTGCACGCCCAGAAGGCAGGGCGGGCTGCCGAGGCAGGCTTAGGTCTTATGCAGCCCACAGCATGAGCAAGTGCTGCTGGGTACCAGGAAGCCTTGCTCAAACTCTGCCCTGTCTCCAGGCCCAACCCGCCCCTGGGCCCTGCTCCCTGCATGTGGACGGAGCGGGGAGCCCTGGCAGCAGCACGACAGAGCTCAGCCCCAGAGACCTCCCTGCCCCACTTTGGCACAAGGAGCAGCGACTAGAGCAGGACTTCCACGGCCTCCTCGAGCGGTGAGCTGCCACCGTGGGGAAGGCCCCTGGCCTGCTCCCAGGGTGTCTGGGGCTCAGCTGTTCCCCTGGGCAGAGGTCACAGCCTCTTTGTTCTTTCTGCAGGTACATCAGTGTGAAGTCCCTCCCAGAAGCCCTGCAGGTAGAAGAGAAGGAACAGCAGGGCGAGGAGGAGGGAGAGCAGGAGGAGGAGGAGAAAGAGGAGGAGGAGGAGGATCACCAGGTCCTTGTAGATGCCGGGCCAGCTTCAACTTCAAGCAAAACCACCAGGGTTCCCTCATGGCGGCACCCAGCACAGGCTGAGAGAAGTCCCAGGGCCCCTCCCCAGTAAGGCACTAAGCGCCACGTGACCCACACTGTGCTGCAGCCACAGGGATGACAGTCATCACAGGGAGCGAGGCTGCTCTTCCCCATATAGATGTGGCCAGCCTGACCATCTCTATGGCAAGACACAGGCCACCAAGACACTTGAAGTGCCCCTGCGTGCCTCGGGACAGGGTTGGAGCAGCACAGAGGCCGCACAAAATAGATCATTCTTTTCCTTCTCTGACCCCCTAATGATGTCCAGGAGAAAGCCACAGCTGGTGCTATTATGCCTTAACACCTCACTTGGTTTGTTTTGGGGGACAGAAAGAGCGTCACAGGCAGATAGACAGAGACAGAAATACAGCCGAAGGCCAGCCTGTGAACAGGCCCAGAGCCTGGAGCAGGTGGCAGGATCTATCCAGAATACGCTGTTGTCCTCTTGGTTTTCTCGTATTTCTTTTCAAAGTTCATTTCTATTCCTAATGTGAAATGCCAGCCCTCCATGGGCAGACGTGGCAGTCTTTTCACTCCACTGGGAGTCCACGGAGACCGCGGAAGCAGGAAGATGCCGTGCAAACGCCCAGGGTCTGGGCAGCACTCCCCCACTTCCTGTTGCCACGCCACTCTTCTCTGGCACATTGCTGGAAGTGTTGTGCTAACATTTTTATGTTAAAGTTAAAAAAAAAAAAAAATGAAGTCCAGAGAGGGGAAGTGCCTCCCTTGGGGTCACACGATGGAAAGGAAGTAGAATCAGGATGGGTACCCACAGTTTGGCCCCGAGTCTTGTCACAGGACAGGCTGAGCCCCAGGCTCGTGCTGGCTCTCAGAGATGGTGTGTCTCTCCCTCCTTCAGGGAGAACATGGAGCAGATGGTCTCCAGGATGCCTCCAGGCTTCCAGACATCCCAGGCAAGACACAGGCGCTTGTCAGGCGTGGGTAGATCTGAGGCAGCTCCTTTGGGGCCTGGTGCGCCCCCCAACTCAGCGGGCACCAAGGCCACAGCCTCTCACCAGAGCAGCCTGAGCAGCCTGGAGGGGAGCGGCCTCTCAGAGCACCTCGCACGGAAGACTCTGCATCAGGTTGGTGCTCCTGGCAGGGCTCAGAGCCTCCTCGCGGCCTCGTGCTGGCCTATGGAGGCCTTTGTCCCTGGGCTCTGGCACCCTTCGCTGCTACCACGACAGTGCTGCCCTTCAGGATGCCGCATGCCACTCAGCCGTGCTCTACCGGCACTCTTGCTTTCCTTGGAGAGCTGTGACTCTTTGCTGTGTTTCTCTGCACCTGGAAATCCCAGCTGCCACCAAGCAGCCATTGCTCACACTGTGACAGGGGCCACTGCCCCCTACTGAAATGTGATTTAGGCTCCCAGGAAAATGCGTATATGTTCATTCATACATACAACAAATAGTCCTGACCAGCCATGGCTATTACCCCCACATGGGACCCCTACCCGGGAGGACAGGGACAGTGCCTGTGTCACCAGCTGAGCTCTCTGCGTCTTGCATAGGGCCTGTGGGGGTGGTTGTGCATGTTTAGTGGAGCTTGTTTCCAATGTATTGGTCTGAGCATTTCTGAGAGCAGAGGAGACTACAGCATTCCAGGCTTCGCCAGAGAGCACTGGAGTAAAACTCCTCTCTCCATCCCTCAGGGGTAGAAGGACCTCTCCCAGGGCTCAGGCTCTACTGAAGCCTGCCAGACTTGCTCAGGGTCTTCTCAGTATGTAGGTCCCTGTGTCAGTCCTTGCTGGCCTTGGGCCTACGGAGCTGGGGACCCTCACTCCTGCGCTGGCTTCCTTCTCCTAGAGTTGCTGGCAGCCTCTGGAATGTGAGGCCAGGCCAGGATTTGGGAGGGAGAAGGGCTTCCCAGGTGCCCTGGGCACATTCCTCAAACTTACATGGACACTGCCTTTTTCAGGAGCCCTGGATGGCCTCTCCCGAGACAGACAGTGGTTTCGTGGGCTCAGAAACCAGCCGAGTGTCACCCCTCACCCAGACCCCCGAGCACCGGCTCCCCCACCTCAGGTATCCTGGATCCCACTACTGTCCCTTCAGTGCCACCTGTGCCTATGATGGCCCAAGTGTGGGGGTAGTCCATGGCCTGGGCCTTTACAGGGCCTCCTTTCACCCCAGTCAGGCTTTGCTTCCCCCGTGTTCCACATGGAGCACAACAGAGCTGGAAGAGGGGAAGTGAATGGCAGTCACTTAGTCCCTGAGCAACAGCCTGGGCAGCTCACAGGACCGGTGCAGTAGCAAAGGGACAAGTAGATGGAGAACCAGTGACAGCTGCAGGGGTGGAGTTATGGACAGAGGCACTCAGGGCTGCTCCATGGGGACCTGGCTGGGCCAGGGAGATAGGCGGGGCTGTGGGGTGATAGACTGTGTACTGGAGGCCACCAAAAGGGGCACAGGCCCCTGGGGAGCCCCACCTGGCAACCTCAATGCGCAAAAAGAAAGGATGAAAAGCTCTTTGTTTTCTAAAAAGTAAATGGAGCTTTCTTACTTCCTGTGTGTGAGTTCTCAGGCTGGCTGCTGCACAATGTGTGAAGGACAGGGATGTGTCACAGGGGTGTCCTCAGAAGCACCTCCTGCCTGGGAAGCTGGCCCCGGCCACCATGACCCGAGGCCTCTGTGAGTGATGGCATGTCTCTCCCTCCCTTGTCCCCCAGCACTCCGGGAGCATTAGCCCAGCATGTCACCACATCTATTCCCCACAGCGGAGACTCCCGCTCTAGGGCCAGGGGTCCTCCTGTCCCCAGGAGAGCAGCTGGGCCCAGCACCCCCAGGCACCAAGCCCCACGGCACCTCCCCAGCACAAGCGGTCACCCCCAGCATGGGACACCTGCCTCTCACCTGCAGCGGGCATTGGCAGTGACAACAGGTGAGTGGGGCAGGGGGCTCTGGACTGTCTGGGACCTGGATCACCCAGCTGGACTGCAGGGATGGAAAAATGTAGAAGCGGGAAACCTGGTATTACTCTTAAGACTCAAAATACTATCTAGGCTGATGCAGGAAAATCTGAGAGTGCAGATAGGGTAGACTAAAGGTAAGAAAAGAAAACAAAAGCCTGTGAAGGATTTTCCACACTGCCAGCCTTGTGCTTGCTTGCATGTGCATGAAACAGAAGTGGCCCCGTTGCCACTGCATTCTGCCTGTTTCACAGCCTCCTCCTTTTAATTAGACATTGCATCATGAATATACTCTATGTCTAGGCAGCCTATCTGCAGTTCAGTTTTTTACCCTTAGTATAGGAACTTTTCCCTGAAATAAAGCAAAAATGCAAAAGAGAGCACAGATTGGTGAGTTTTCGGAGTGAACCCAGACCAAGACTTGGCAAGAGCAGAGGTCTTCTGTCTTTCTGTCCCTGCTCCCCCAAATAGAACACTTCAGATGAGCTTTGCTTCATTTTTAAGATCTAGCATTTAAAAGGACTCCTCATTGAGCTGTTTGAGAAAACCATAGATTGGCGTGCAGGTGTAAGAGACACTGAATACACCAGAGCAGAGTGCACAGCCTCCGGGTTCCCCCAGTGACGCCTGTGAGAAGGTACAGGGCAGTGTCACAGCCAGTGGCTGACATCTAGGGTGCAGACCTGCCCCGGCCACAGGGCTGTCTGTTCCTCTGTCCCGGCCACACCCTACCCCTGCCAGCAAGCGCTCACCCATCTCCTGGGTGAGGGGCTCTTCCTGTACACGGTGTGGTGTTGCTGAGGTTCACTTGGATACTTCTGGGTCTTGGGAGTTTGTCCCTTATAGAAGTGCTCAGAGCACTCCATGGTCCATGGCTGCTGTGCCTGAGTCTGTGGATGGGGTGTCTCCAAGGCAGCCCAGTACCCCTCCACACTCACAACACAAACCGGAACTTCTGCTTTTGAGGTCAGCAGGTCATTGGCCTGGTCAGGACCTGCACACAAGACCCCAGTTGAGCGCCAGCTCCTCATCCCGCACCCACCATCCTCCCAGCCCATGTCTCATCTCGAAGCCTTCAGGGTCCCTCCCTCCCTTCCTTCCTTCTTTCCCTCCTTCCTTCCTTCCTTCCTTCCTTCCTTCCTTCCTTCCTTCCTTCCTTTGTTTCTTCCTATATATTTTCTATAGGACCTCACTATGCGGCTCAGACTCATAGTGATCTTCCTATTTGCAGCCTCCTCAGCTGGGATTACAGGTGCACCACCACACCCTCTCTTCAGGGTCCTTTCTGTTTCGACTCATGTTGGTCTCTTTCTGCCTTACTAGGAGTCCCTGGCTCAGAGTTCCAGGGCCAAAAGCAGATTCCTGAACAACTCTTCCCCAGGAGGACAACCAATGCTGAGCCCACGCAGGTCCCTGGGGCTGCCTCAACACCCCCTAGACCAGCCGAGACCAGCCCCGACCTCCTCCTCACCAGAACAGAGAGAGAGTAAGTTACACAATGCAAACTCACACAGTGGAGCAGAGGGGGCTGGGGAAAGGGAGTCGGCCCTGCCCAGCTCACACGTGAGGGGACCCAGGTGTCCTGTCTCCCACATGGAGGCTGTTCCTACGGGACTTCACTGATATAGACTTGGAGGACCTAGAAATGGCCTAGAGGTGCAAGATAGCCCCACCTCCATCATTTCCCTACAAGACAGATCCATGATGCTGAGGATCTGTTTTCTGCAGCTGGATCATTGCTTCTATCAAATAAGTGTGTGTGTGTGTGTGTGTGTGTGTGTGTGTGTGTGTGTGTGTCTTCCTTCATGCTTCCTTCTCTTCCTTCTTCCTTTTCCCCTTCCCTGCTCTCTTCTCCAGTTGCACAGGAGTGGAGAGGCAGATGCTCAGCCCGCACTATCTCAGGAGGGGCTGTAAGCTCTCTGGAGAGACTGCTTGTGGGACCCCGAGGCCACCATGGCCTTTACGGTCACCTTGCCATGTGCGCAGTTGTAGCCAGCAGTAGGTGTTTGGTGGACTGATCTAGTGTACTTTGTCTGCCCTGCAGTTGTGTGTGTCTACATATGTCAGACCTTGGGAACAGGACAGGACCAGCCACAGAGGCACCTGCTGTGGGAGCGCAGGGCTGAAGGCTGCAGGGAGAGCAAGTAGTACCTCAGCAGAGACTGGAAGAGGCACGAAAGAGGAGAGCCTGAGGGAGCAGCGTATGCAGAGCCCTGGGAGCGAGAGAGCGCCCGTGTGGGGTGATGGGTGTCGAGCAGAAACTCAGGGAAGCAGCCAGAGGAGACCTTACACGGCCCCCTGTTACACTGGGGGGCTCACTGTATCCCCCTGCTACAGTGTGCAGCTGGGATCAGCAGCTTGCCCCAAGAAGCGGGGCAAGGGGATGCAGCAGGGCAAGGGGATGCAGCATCCTGGATGCTGCATGGCTGCACATTCTCCTCCGAGCGTGGCAGGGGGTTGTATTGGGTTGGGCTTGTGTTTTAGAAAGGACTCTTTGGCCTCCCCAGCAGGAGCACAAAGTTGGGGCAGTGCTGAGGAGGGGCCAAGGGACAGTGGGAGAAGGAGCAACACTGGCCCCCCAGAAGTTGGCTGACCCCAGAGGTGTTCAGGGAGGAGAAGGATCTAGAAGGACTCCAGATCCTGGCCAGGCAGTCAGCTGGTTTCTCATGCCTTAGGGAGTGGGGGAGCAAGCTTGCAGGGAAAGATAAGTGTCCGTGTGAGCTGGGACTCAGGTGCTAAAGAGTTAAAGTTGGGAACACTGGGAAACAGCTGAGAGAGGGGCATGATCCCCCTTGCCAACACCAGTGGGTAGCCCAAGTCCCAGGTCAGCAGCCAGAGCCCTGGTGCTCAGGGGTTAATAAGTGTCCAGAGCACTCACTGTACTACGGCCACCACCCTCACAGCCCATGCTCCTTGCAAGCCTCAGCAAGCACCGCCCTGGGGATTGCCAGGGAAACCAACTCCCTCTGTACACATGCCATGCTGCAGGGCCAGGGCTCCGTACCTGCAGTGCACTCGTCGGATGGCCCATGTATGCTGGAGGTGGCACCAGGCAAGAGCTGACCCTGAGGGGCCCCTGGAAGCCACTGTGGAGGGTTCAGAGCCCACAGTGGTTCAGAGGATGGCTGGGCTGTGTGGGGGCAACTTGTATGCAGGATGTCTGGGTGGCACTGTCCCCATGGTGCTGGGGACCTACAGGGTGACCCCAGTGATGCAGGGACTGAGTTGGGATTGCTCCCCAACCTGTTGAACAAGGGGTTGGACTAAGTTTGGGGGGTCTCACAGGGTTACTGAAGCAGCAGTGTCCCTGCCTGTGCCCCACCTACGCCCTCTACCCTGCTCCCTCTTACAGCTGGCTCCAGTTCAGTAGTGCTCCCAGGACATGGGAGGCGCAAGGGTCTGGGGACAGGAGATGGGAAAACCAGGCCCCTGCCTGCCAGTGGTTCAGGGCAGGGGAGGTGGAGAGCTGAAGAGTAGGAAAGGTTTTGAGGGAGGCCGGGAAGTGGGTGAGGCGCTAAGCAAAAGCAGAGAGGGGCCAGGCTTCCTTAGCGTTTCCTGGGGAAAAGGCAGAGCGAGAGAAGATGGCCCAGGGCTGGGGGCAGTCGGCATGGAGAGGTTCCAGTGCACCGTTAGCAGCCAGTGCACCCTCACCTGCATCTTGGGAATTTTCACAGCATTTCCTGCGTGTTGGGAGGGCCATCTCTGGATGAAGGTTCTGGGGTGCTCCCAGGGTGCACTTAGACTGAACTCAGGGATCGATGTGTGAGTGTGGCCGAGCAGTAAAGTTCCAGAACTGCTGTGCGGCAGAGGCTGCGCCTGAGCCGGCCACAGGTAGCAAAGGCCTCTGCCTCTGGGCAGCACTCGGGGCTCTGTGGCTCTGTTCCCTGTGCATCTGCTCTGTGCTTCTGGCCCATCCCCCACCCCAGCCAGGCCATCCGAGAACTGCAAGCAGAGGTGTCCCGGCTCCGTGTGCGGCTAGAAGACAGCCTGCAACAGCCTCCCCGGAGCAGCACGGTGCACCCAGGATCTGCTGTTGACCGTCCTGCCCGGACCCGGGACCGACCTGCCAGCTCTTCAGCCACCTGGGGCTCCCGTGGTAGCAGGTGGGTAACCGCTATGCCATGAGGGCAGCTATCAAGACAGACTATCTGGCCTGGCTTCCTGCAGCCACGGGGCTCCACCACTGCCACTACACTGTTCCGCATTCACTCCATCATTTATTCACTCTTGTTTTTCTACTGTGTAGTGTTTGATGCATAAAAGAACATCTAAAGTCACATGTTAGTAATTAAAGTGTTAGATAAAAAATATCCCAGAATCCCCCCCAACCCCAAACTGGGGAGCAAGACCTTCTGCAGATTGGTGAAGAGAACTTTGAAAGTCAGATCACTTCTTCTGAGTTTCAATGGAGGGCCCTGAGTTAAGGGTTTTATAAATATTACCCCATTAATCCTTCTACTCAGCCTCTGTAGTCATTGCTTTCCTCACTCCCATTTGACAGATGAGAAAACTGAGGGTCAGAGAGGCCCCCAGCCATTACCCATGAGACTGACTCGTGTCTGGCTTGACCTCTAATGCTCTTCCTCCTGTTGTGTCACGAGCATTTCTCTGGGTGGCCTTTTCATGGCTCCAGCGAAGGCTGCAGGGACCCTCACCCATGATACTATCTCTCTTGCTAGTATATCCACAGAGAGGTTGTCCAGGGGGCTTGAAGGTACAGAGCAGGCTTGGTCTACAGGCAGACGACGCGCCCGGTCCTCCTCTGTGCCTCGGGAGGTGCCCCGAGTGTCCCTGGGTAAGTAACCGCTCGCCGGAACTGATTTCAGGAGGCTGTGAAAGGGGGTATGTGCTCGGTGGCTGGGGAGCCCAGCAGCAGCATGCAGATCAGAGGCCATTGGTGACACGTTGTGAGCCACTGGTGTACACTGAGATGTGACCCTGAATGAGAACCCTGCACCCCAAAGAGCACCAGTCCTGACAGGGTGTGCCCCAGAGTCCCTGCGGGTTGACCCCAGGTGTGTTCACTGTCCTTGGTCAGGCTGTCTCCCTGCTGGATGGTTAGAGAGATTACTAACTGGAAGTGTGGGCTGTATTCCCAGGAAGCAAACCCCCGGGAAGATGGCAGAGGTCGTCCCAGAGCCCGAACCTGCCGTGGCTCATGCCCCAAGCCATGCGCCCCCTGCTTCACCACTCTTCAGCTCCTCTCTCTCTCCACCCTAGATTCGGGATCTGAGCCTCCCTCCCCACAGCTGCCTTCTGGGAAGATCAGGACCTCCCAGGACAGTCCCCACTCAGCTCCCACCAGCACAAGAAGAGCAAGTGGTACCAGACGCCCAGACAGGGTCTCTTTCCAGGGCCAGTACACAGGTGGGCCAGGAGGGTGGCTGGCATAGGCCATTCAGACTCGGTGCCTGTGATGGGAGGAATGTCAGGGTGCGGCTCCATGTACCTGGGCACCTGTGCTGTTCATTCCCCAACAGGCAGATACTCCCCCTGCACCAGGCTGGGCTCTGGGAGAACCTGACCCATTTGCTCAGCCAGGCAGGCCCAAGATCTACTCTGCCAGACCTGGGTGAACATTGCGTATTGCATTCTTGGTACCTGGCTTAGCCTCAGCTTGCAGTTCCCAGCAGCTAACACTTTCTGTGACCTGAAGCCTGGTTTTACCCGAGTATGGCCCACAGTGGCACCTAGGAGCATGCTAAGTGCTTAACAGTGATTTTTTTTTTTTTTTTTTGGTGGAACTGGGAATTGAACTCAGGCTCTTGCACTTGCCAGGGAAGCACTTATTCTACTGAGCCATCTCCCTAGCCCCCTTAACAGTGAAAAGAGCATACGCCTGGCTTCTATCTTGGTGAAACTGACTGTCCAGAGGCAATGACAGTAAATGTAGTGCGGCTGCCACTAGCACCACTCTGAGCAAGGAGGGCCGCTGCCTGCAGCTCCACACCCCTGCGGCTGGGACTGAGGCAGGAAGGAGGTTTGTCCGGAAGGTGCCCTGAGGAAGACTACAGAGACCAAGGAGTCATATGCGGGCAGCCACAGCGCAGGGCTCCAGAGCCTCAAATAGCACAAACTGACCACCCAGTACAGGGAGGAGAAGGCAAGGCACCTTCTCACAGTGGCTCAGGTATTGGAATCTTGAGGGCAGGGGAGGCAGGGGATTGTAAGGTCCCAAGAGCTTTCTGGTAGCATCGTGAGTTTTCCATCCACCAGGCATATGGGGATAAGCTTACAGAAATTATCCCATGAATCCTTCCCGCAAGCCCAGGAGTCTGGCACCATAATGTCCTTGGCGTTTGTTTGTTTGTTTGTTTGTTTGTTTGTTTGTTTTGCAAAACCAGGGATTGAACTCAGGCCCTTGCGCTTGTCAGGCTAATGCTTATTCTACGGAGCCATCTCCCCAGCCCCTGTGATGTCCTTGCTTTCACAGCCACCCTGTGGGCAGGGAATAAACAAGCCCATAGCCCCCTGGTCTGAGCCACTCAGAGTAACCAGTGCATCAGGGTCTTGGAGAGTGTCCCCATTGGCCACGACTTCCCACTTACACACTGGCCTGGCTGGGGGTGCAGATCACTTCTGTATTGGGAAACACTCAGCAGCTGCTCCTGGGCCTGGAGTCTACAGAGAGCTCAACAGTAAATAGTCTGTGTGTGCGAGTATATGTATGCAGGCATGTGCATACATACACATGCATGGTGTAGGTGTGCTCACGTGCACACATGAGAGACAGACAGGGAGTGACTACCAAGAGAGGAGGAAGAGCATGATGTGGTGCCAGGATCCTCCCTGGTCTTTGTAGGGTGCTGATGTTGATGTCTCTTGTTTTTTCCCCAGGCCAGGATTACCGGGTCCCCACCCCTCCAGCCGTCCTGAGAGGCAGCAGCTCAGCCTCCTGTGCCCACTGCCAGCCCGTTAAGACCCAGGACACAGGTAGAGGGGGATGCAGTGACTGTGCCTCTAGCTTCTCTCTAGGGGGCCTTGGCAGCCAGGCCTGCCCTGCCCAGGGATCAGAGGCAGGGACGAAAGAGAGGGGCTCTGCTGAGCACGGCCAGCCCTGTCCTGCACCATCTCCCACTCCAAGGGCTGCTACCTGGATCTGCTCTCCATCATTTCAGGACTTCCCAAGTTCCTGGTGGGTGGATGGGTGGGCAGCAGGGCAGCTACAAGGTGACAGTGCCTCCCCTCCCCTCAACTCCTTCTGCTTCCCCCAGGACCCAACAGTCACAGGTGGTGGGAGAGCCATGGCCTGAGAGCCCAGGCCCTGCGTTCTGCTTGCACTTCTGCCACAGACTTGCTGTGTGATCTTAGGCCAGTTCTTGACTTCCCTGAGCCTCAAATTCCATATCCATGGGCCAGGGATGTAGTTCAGCGGCATAAGAGCCTGCTGTCAAGCTTAAGGTCCTGAGTTCAGTTCCTGGTACCAAAAAAAAGAGTTCCACATCCAAAATGAGAAGGGTGGAGGTGGTCTCTGAGACCTTTTCAAACAACAATGACAATAACGGAGGAGCTGCAATTTTTTAGGCTCCTGCTGTAGACAGGAGATCAGGCTAAGGGTTTTGTCTATTCATGCTCACATTTTGTGAAGTGTCACTCTTATGTCCATTTCATAACTGGGGCTTAGAGAGATTAAGTACAAAGAGGCAAGGTTTGGATCCCAGTGTTTATGCTACAGAGCCCTGGTACTTTGCTATCATATCTGTGTACATTCATTCATCTTTACACATGGTTCCTTGTGGGCCCCAATTTACCTTTTTAATATTTTCATGTGCTGCCTTTTGCTCTGGTTCTCGCTATAAATATGGCTAGCAGAAGCCAACAGTACCCATGCCAGCTGAGTGTGGTCCAGCTGTCTTGACTTTTCCTCCACCAGATTAATTAATTAATTAATTAGCTATTACTACCCTTAATCTTAGTCTCCTGCAAATTCTCAGGATTTTGGCAAAATGCAGGCCACTCGTCTGCCACAGCACATGGGGCCTCTGTTCCTACTGCCAATCAAGTCCTAGAACCCCATGAACCTGGCCATTACGGGCCTCATCCCTATCAGCCTTCTGGTCTTCTGTGCTGACTAGACTCTCCCAGCAAGTGCTGCTTAAGGCATTCCAGGACTCTTCCAGCCTCTCCAAATGTTCTCAGACTCTTCCCACAAACCAGTTCGAAAGGCTTCTGAACCGCAGGGTCGGGCATCGTGACCACAATGGTCCCATTTTCCTGGCACTGATTTTCAGTACGAATCAGCCTTTCCATTGCTGTGACACAGTATTCGTGACTCACAATTTAAAGGAAGAAAGGTTTAACCTCCTCATAGTTTGGGGGACTTGGTCCACGGGCAGCTGGATCCACAGCAGAAGCATCACGGTAGAGTGCGCAGAGGGGAAACGCTGCTCACCGCCTGGCAGCGAGGAAGCCAAGAGGGAAAGGAGGAGTCAGGGCGGCAGCCATACCCTCCGAAGGCTCAGCCCAGGGCACGCCCCCTCCAACCCAGCCCCACCTCCTACCAGTGCATTCAGCAATAAACTCAACAACGAGTGAACTCACCAATGAGTAGAGCACACCCACGATCCAGTCACCTCCCAACAGCCCCAATTCTGAGCACGTGAGACCCTCAGGGGGCATTCTAGATCCATACCATAACACTCTTGGAGCCTCAGTTTCTCCACCTTAGGGTAGGGAGTGTCTTAGTTACTCTTCTCTCATTGCTGGAACAAATACCCAACACTCAAAATGAAGGAAGGAAAGGTTTATTTAGCTCACAGTTGCTAGAGGTTTCAAGACACTGGAGGACAGGGCTGGGGAGATGCTTCAGTAGAATAAGCACTTCCCTGGCAAGTGTAAAAGTCTGAGTTAAATCCCCAGTTCCACCAAAAAAAAAAAAAAAAAAAAAAGACACTGGAGGAGAGGCTGGGGTGCTGCCGTGTCCAGGATGACCCTCTCCACATCTCTCATAAAGCACAAGCTAGCCGGTTTAACGGTTCGAGCCCCTCAGGCCCTGCCCCTGTTCCTCGGGCCCCCCCTCAAGCCACTCACAGCTCCTCCAGCCACATCTGCCCCATAACTTACATGAAGCCAGGGAGATGGCTCAGTGGAATAAGCGCTTCTCTGGCAAGCGCAAGGGCCTGAGTTCAATCCCCGGTTCTGCCAAAAAAAAAAAGACATAACTTACATGAGGTTTTGGGGGGACAACTAGACACAAACTGTAACAGGGAGTGAGCAGAGCAGCCAGCCCAGTGGCCAGTGGGATCTGACAGCATAGTGCACAGAGGCACTCAGTAAAGGGCCAGGCCCTTCAGCGCCATCTTTCGCCATCATGGCTGGCGTCAATATTGGTCTGGGGGTGAGAGAAGGCAGCGGTCCCCTCTGCCACGGCTCCCAAGGAAATCTCAGTGTTGTGAGGCCTTGAGGAGCTGTTGGGATTGAGGTCTGATATTGCAGACAGAATCCTCTTTTGATGTCTTTTCCAGGAGCTGCTGCCAAAGATCCTCAGCACCTGTCGACTCCTGACCCCCTCCGATGTCCCCTGTGTGGCCAAGTAGGGTCCCCTCCAGAGGGAGACGGCCCGAGCTCAGCCACCACCTCTGGTAGGGACTGGTGCTTGGAGCCTGTTCTCAGCCAGATCCCAGCTTGGGGGCCTGGGCAGTCCAGCTGGGGTGTGACAGATGGGTAGAGGGGTTGCCACCCATCGGGGTAGGGGCTGGGGCTCCCACCGTTCTCTGCTGCGCTGCCCACGTGGACACGGTGTATCTGCGGTGTTGCCTTCCTGGCAGGGGCCGACAAGGCAGCCACACGGAGAGACGCGCCTCCAGCGTCCAGCCCCAGGCAGAGGAGGAGGCAGGCGGGCTCCCCAGCACGGCCACCCCCTGGACTGTGGTACCTGGCAGCTGCGCCCCCAACACCAGCTCCTCCAGCCTTTGCCTACTTCTCCTCGGTGCCTGTCAGGTCTTATCCTCCAGCCACAGTGTAAGTCTTTTCTTCCAACCACTCAGCCACTATGTTTGAATTGCTGTAAGCACCAGCATTCCTACCTGTGTCAGACCACAGCAGGCAGGTGCAGTATGCTCCAGGATTTAGTCTATGTGAATAATGTGCAGCCCAAGCTGGACACGCTTACAGTCACTCCGCAAACCCCAAATACTCTGTAACAGGGAGCCTGCTCTGTCATGAGGTGCCTACACTGTAGGAGATTGCCAAGGGGGCCTACCCCTGGGAATTTACATCTTGCTGGGGACCTAGAACCTCAAGCATCTTCCATTTCCTCATGGAAAGCATGTAATGAGAAACCACATTTTATTTTTAGTAGACATGATTTTTCAGAGCATGTCTGGATTTTGGGAAATTGAGCAGGTATAGAGAGCACTCCCATGGGCGACTCCTGGCCCGTACAGTCACTGCTGTTACTGGCATCCTGCATCCATTACCTGTGCCTCCATTAGCAAGCCTACAGGAATACATTAGGGGCCGGGGAGATGGCTCAGTAAGATAAATGCTTGACTGACAAACGCAAGGATCTGAGTTCAATCCCCGGTTCCGCCAAAAAAAAAAGGAATACATTGCTGGGCTTGTTGAGTGACTACAAAAGCGTCGGACATGGGCTGCACACCACCCACGGAGTCCACAATTACTTGAGGGTGCTCAGTTTGTACCCAAGGTCCTATCCATTCCAGAGGCCCTCCCTGGGCCCCGTACATCTTGTCACTTGTATAGGCTCCTTCCGGCTGTGGCAGTGGCTCAGACTGGCCCTGTCTCTCGTGACCCTGACAGGCTGGGTGCGCTAGCCTGGTGTGCCCTCTCAGCCTCAGTTTCCCTTCTGTGTACGAGACCAGCTCCTCTGCCGAGTGAGGACCAAGCGAGGTGCAGGTAGGGAGAAGCTGGAACTGGGGAGAAGAAATTAATTAAATGTGACCTCACTTCTCCATGGCGGGAAGGTGTAGGGAAAACAAGCCTGCGCCATGGAATCAGGACACCTGTCTTCTTGTCCCAGTTGTTATCAGCTACTTCCCTGCCTCAGTTTCCCTCGCTGTAAGACAAACATTTGGGGCTGATGCCTCCGATGGCAGAGCAGCAGGCAGCCTGGGTCAGAGCAGTGTAAGCGCAGGAGCTCAAGAGCCGAGGCCCAAGTTGTGCGCTGCCCTGCCCCGCCCCCCAGGAGGCTCCCTGGCCGCTGACTGCAGCGCACAGCCAGCCTGGACGGGTCAGAGGGCACTCCCTGCCCCTCTAGAGTGGGCGTCCACCCTAAACACCCCAGCCCACACTTGGTGCGACCGCCACCGCTGTTCCTACTCAGTTTCCTCCTCTGGGAAATGGGTCATGGTGAGAACTGATGTACAGGAAACGCACAGTCCGCAGGAGCCCAGAAGCCACAGCGCCCCTAAGGCTGCTAGAATCTGGACGCCAGCGCTCCCCGCTTCCAGCTGAGGTCGATGCATGCTCAGTGGCAGAGGGCGCGTGGTTTAGAAAGCTCAGCGGGCTTGTGCTGCCGCCTGCAGGCCTGCCGCTGTATGGCCCCTGCAGCAGAGCGTCTAGCCCAAAGGGGTTTTTGTTTTGTTTTAGCTTCTGCCCTAGGGGACATTTAGGGGCTGTTGAGGCCAAACTGGGCAGCTAGGGAGAGAGCAAAAGGCAGGGGCCTATGGGACACTCCCGAAAGGTGAAACGTGGACTGCTGTTTATTGGATTCAAGAGGCCAGTTCTTTCAGTCTAGAGCTGTGCATCAGCACAGGCTGCTTACTAATTAGGGTTGGTTTCAGGGGCTGGGAAAGTCGCTCCAGGTGTGAAGCCACAGCTGCCCCTTCCGCTGTGACCCGGGCCCTTCATAGCTCACAGTCCTAGAGCACTCTCCACAGTCTGGCCACCCAAGGCTTTCCCCCGAGTTCTTCCATGCACCCTGTCTGGGAGGTAGCTGAATAGGGGGGCTTGCTCTGCTCTCCCCAGCCTCGTGTCCCCCCCCTCCCCCGCACAACGAGGTTATGGTCTCAACTGGGCATGCAGGAGCAACTGGTATGTGTGTACCAAAGATGGGGGAACCCTGGGCCCCTTCCACAATGGACACCGTGACATCTTTCCGGTACTGGATGAGGGCTCCAATCACTGCACATTCTAGCCAACACTTGCTGCTGTCTTTTAAAAACTGTTCCCATCCTGGTGGATGTGAAGTATGTGAGGTCATCCCACATGGCTTTGATTTGTAGTTCCCTAATGATGGGTGGAGCGGTTAAGAGCCCATCCTTTCATGGGGCTCATGGCCATTTGCCTTATTCAGAGAAATGACTGGATCTCTTCTCTCTCTCTCTCTCTCTCTCTCTCTCTCTCTCTCTCTCTCTC